ATTTATAATTATTAGTAATAGTAAGTAGTATGTAAAAAGGAAGGTAAAAAAATAGCATTAATAAAGTTTACCAGTTAAGTTTCTTACCAGTTCTTCTCAACATAGTGATTTATAAATGATGAACTAAACCATAAGAGACAAAAATGGTCTTTTTCTAAAGTCGGTTAAAATGCATGCGTCCAGTCACCTTTAAAATAGACACGCGCCATTTCTACGCGTGAACTTTCCAACCCTTCAATAAAAAAAATAAAAAATCGTCCACCTTTCTCAACATGACATGAAAAAAATTCTCCACCCATTTTTTCACAGACGAATATAATTTCTATAACTATTAAATATAGAGTTCATTATTATTTGTAGGCAAGTCATATATGTGCTAATTTTGTACAATGCAAAACCGATGTTATAGTTATGGGACATAAAGTCTTCAAAATTTTCTCACTCAGCTCAACTCAGCTTCTTTGTTTGAAAGTGTCAAGCGAAACTCGACTTTGTTGCTTCGAAATAAAATAGGATGATTGCAAATATTTGCACCTTGAACAATTACCGCATGCTTGATCGGGACTATGGATTAACATCTGAACTTCTGAGGCAGATGATTAGAGAAATGTCAACAAGATGGCTGCCTAACATTTTTTTTAATCGGGTGCTACAATGTATTCTTAGGGATGACTAGCTGTACTTCGTTCGCGTGGAATTTAACTTTATTTTTCTAAAAGAAAAGTAGCCTAAGTTACTCCTTATTACATCAGCTATCTGCCAAAAAAAGTCCCGTCAAAATCGGTCCAGCCATTTCAGAGATTAGCCGGAACAAACAGACTGACAGACAGACAGACAAAAATTGTAAAAAATGTTATTTAGGTGTATGCACCGTATTTATATTCATATGCATGTAGTAAAAAACGGATATATCAATATTACAAACAGACACTCCAATTTTATTTATATGTATAGATAACTGATTTATTGCCAACATAACGCAAATAATACAATTTACAATAGAATAGAAATAGAAATAATCTTTATTCAAATAAACTCATTACAAGCACTTTTGAATAGTCATATTTTGATTCTACCACTCATTCGGGATGCAGATTCATCACAAGAAGAATGAGCAAGAAACTTGTGTGTTGCTCTTTTGAATAGATGTTTTTTTTTATATAACTAATTACAGTATAACAAGTAAGAGGCATGCGATAATCAACATAGAAATCGCTACGCACTCATTATTAGTGTAATCAAATAATATTGTCAGTGCTATAGATTTTAAGTTTTTCTATAAAAACATTATTACCATTAACGAATTCTTCAATTTTATAGTAAGCTTTTTTTCAAAGGAAGTGTTTTATTTGACATTTAAATCTTTTTCCAGGCAGATTTATAACAGACGCTGGTATTTTATTGTAAAACCTTACGCAATTGCCATAAAATGAATTACTAACTTTAGTTAAACAATATTTAGTTAAAATCAATTTGTTATTGTTACGTAAGCTTTTATTAGTGTAATCACTACTTTTGAAACTGTCAATATTCTTCCTGGCATACATGATATTTTCATATATGTAGAAGCAATTTCATTCCTTAAAGCACTCTCGTAAAGTCTCCCTGGAACCCATACTATAAATAGAGAGATATATATTCAAGACTGCATTAAAAGTTCCACATAAAATGGCTGCTTTGAGCAAACTAAAAGTCTCACTCTTTCAGCTCCTATTCACCGATGTTCCCTCAAATGATGGAACGATTAAATCCGGCCGTCTATTAACGGAAGTAATTAATTTGATGACTGTACTCAATTAACTAATTGAAGGCTAATTTGTCCCATTAAATGCACTTTACAAGCATTTCGTACAAATCGTGTGCTTAAGCACTACATTTAGTACTTTGTCATAGTGACATTATTGGAAATTCGAAGAGTATTTATTAATGTCTTAATAAAGTATTATTATGACAAGGTACATTCAACTACTTAGGAGATTATGCAGTTCTGGTATTTTTGTTTAGTATTTTTTGTTGACTAACGCCCAGCACCGAATTTGCATGTATATTCTAAGGAACTACTGTATTTAGTACTATAGTATAGTGATATAATTGACAACTCGAAGCGTATTTAGTAATATCTTAATAAAGTATTATTGTGACAAAGTACGAAAGTTGTTTAGTGCGTGAGAAATAAGTACTTAGGAGGTTATGTATTCCTAGTATTTATTTAGTTTACTTTTTCGTTTACTAACGCCGAGCACCGGATTAGCATGAATATTTTAAGTAAGTACAATATTTAGTACTATGTCATAATGACATTAATCGCATTGGAAGTGTATTTAGTAATAGAAACTTAGAACTTTGAAGGTTATGCATTCCTGGTATTTTGGTTACAAATTTTTCGTAGACTAACGTCCATCTCCGGAGTTACATGTACATTCTAAGGAACTAGTACTTTGTCATAGGGGCCCTTCAAGTATTACGTAAGCACTATAGGGGGGCGGGGGGTCTTTTCTTTGCTTATTTTGGATGACATGGGGGTGGGGGAGTCTGTATGATGATTACGTCATCGGTCGTAATTTAATTTTTTACACGAATGGCAACCCTCACATTGTCTTTGCTAAAAAAAACAATACATTAATTGAGAAATGTTTACGTAAGCATGGGGGGAGGGGGGAAAGAGCTTTGCTTACTTTTGCTGACAAGGGGGATGGGGGTAAATAATTGTGATAAATCTGCTTACGTAATACTTGAACAGCCCCATAGTGGCAGTATTGTAATTTAATTTTTTTTTATTACTCAAGATCAAAAGATTCAGCCTATTTGCTATTCTAGATACACAAAAATCTTTGCCTTTATTATAAGCGTATTTAAAATGTAGTTCAATTACTCAAGACCAGAAGAATCAGCTTGTTTCTCATTCCATTTGCCTAAATTTTTATTAGAATTACCCTACTTAATTAAAACACAATTTAAAAATGTCATTTTATTCAAATAAACTAAGAAAATCATAAACATGCAAACATGGCTGTATAGCCGCAGTTCCCTTTACCTTGAATGATAAACAGAAAAAAAGTTTGTTTGCCATTTACCTAAACCTCTTTGCCTCTATTAGGAGCATATTTAAAAAATAATTTTCAATTGTCATTTTTAAAAATAGAACGTGACCTCTAGATCGGGTAGAAAGTGCATCTAAGACAGATGCCCGCGCACCTTGCCGGGAGCCTGCGTTTTTGCGCGCGCATCTGCCCAAGATAAAGGTCCAGGTTCAAAGAACTCTGATTAGTAGGATCATGTTGTTATGTACTCATAGAATTGTATAAGAACACCTTGGACTTCTTCATCATCATCATCATCATCATTACATAGTATAAAACAAAGTTGCTGTCGCTGTCCGTCCCTATGTATGCTTAAGTCTTTAAATCTACTCAACGGATTTTGTAGCGGTTTTTTTAAATAGATAGAGTGATTCTAGAGGAAGGTTTATATGTATAATACATGTACACCCGTGTCGGGTAGCTATAAAAAAAGTCTAAAACTAAGTCGCTGTCGCTGTCCCTATGTATGCTTAAATCTTTAAAACTACACAACGGATTTTGAAGCGGTTTTTTTTAATAGATAGAGTGATTTAAGAGGAAGGTTTATATGTATAATACATGTACACCCGTGCGAAGCCGGGGCCGCTAGCTAGTTACTTTATAAAACATGCAACCGATTCACTGTTCGAGTCTTCGTGTTTCTTTCGCTTTATATGCATGTAGTAACATCTTTACTAATATTATGTTCGACCAATATCAATTAAAGTTCTCAATATTTATACTAGATGGCGCTAGGTGAAATGTACAACGCGCTATAGTTTCGTTTTCTTTGATTATGACCACTGTACGGAATTTTGTAATTATCGAGTTCGATTTACACCCGAATATATCTTTGTTTATTATCCAATTCGGTGTTGTTTGATTTCTTGGCCTCGAGTAAAACAATTATAAATGCGAAAATAACTCTGTCTGTCGCGCTCTCACGCCAAAATTACTGAACCGATTTAAAGGAAATTTAATATACAGATAGTCTAGTCCTTGAGAAGGGACATAGGGTACTTTTTAATGCGAAAAATCGGTTGTAAGGCATTTAAAGGGAGATGAAATTTTATGGAAATGTCGTCACTTTATAAGCGAGAAGATTGAACTTATTTTTTTAGGGTGTTAATTAAATATAAATAAATATGACATTCAAAGTTTGCAAAATTTTACCCTTGGGGTGGTAATTATTAAGGTAAGGGGGAAAATCATTTTATAAGCGAGAAGATTGAACTTATTTTTTTAGGGTGTTAATTAAATATAAATAAATATGACATTCAAAGTTTGCAAAATTTTACCCTTAGGGGGGTAATTATTAAGGTAAGGGGGAAAATCATTTTATAAGCGAGAAGATTGAACTTATTTTTTTAGGCTGTTAATTAAATATATAATTAATTAAATATGACATAAAAGTTTTTAAAAAAATTACCGTTAAGAGTGTAAAATTATTATTAAAATAAGGGATGAAAGTTTACATCGAAATTCGTCATGTTTGAAGCTAGATCTATGAAACTTTTTTAGGTTAGATTGTTAAATATTTTATGCTATTCAAAATGGTTTCCAGAACCACATAGAGATCAACCTGACATGGTACATTGCTGTGGGTTATCAGTCCACATTACTAACAATCTCCTTAGGACATGTGTCAAAGGTATGTAAGTCAAGAAATTTATATGAAATAACAAACAATTTAAAAATTAATGACTCTAAATACCAAGACTGAACTTCATTAGCAATATTAAATGCACCAAAGACATCCTTTGTTTGAGTATCATCTGCCGATCTTAAAATAAAACCTACCCTTGTTGACATGCCTGAAAATAACAACAACTGTTTCTCCGCTCTTCTAACTCGTATAAATGAAAAGAGATAGATATATCGTTCGGTGCGCGAGCGTAGAACTCGCTGTAGATGGAGAATGACAGTTGTTGGGGTTATGGAGTAGCAGTTGTTATGGCACTCCGCCTCTAGGGCCAGTCGCGTACGGACGTGTCGTGCGTCGCGTAGATAACGTTAACCGCAAACTCGCGTGTAGTGTTCGTGCGTTCGATATTTAAATTTCGGATATTTCATAATCTGTGACTCTAGTTTTTATGTGCTCGATATGAATCAATAGAGAAACGAAATTATTTTTTTTTACGTTTTGAATTTGGAATATAAAATCTTTTTAAATGATGGGCGTAAGCAGCTGCATGAGCGTCCGGCAGGCGAGGGGACCGTGCCATTGCCCCGCTTGCCCTAGGGCTTCGGGCCATGGGGCTCAGTTGCCGCCACCGACGCTCGTGCTGCCCCCAATGGCCCTTGAACCGGAGACGACCCCCGTCAAAGACAAAAAGGGGTCTAAAATGAAAGTGCTGAAGAAAATTAAGAAAAAAATTGGACTCGGTAAGTTTTATAGCGTTGTAACGTTCGTAACGGTTATTTTTAACAAATATTTAACGCAATTTGATAATTTGCTTTTTGATTATTGAATTTTTTTAGAAATTAATATGTAGGTAAGAAATATGATAGAAAATCTGTTTTTTATACGAATGAACAGAAAGTATTTTGGAAAATGGTTGATTTTTGTACTTACTGTTACGGTTGTAGGGTAAGAAAAGGTAATGAAAGTACTGGGATACGAGGCATGATACTATAGTCATCCGGAATGGCAATATTGTTTACATCAACCAGCGCTATCAGGATGTTTGCCATTCATTGAAATTTGATAAAAAAATAAATATATTTTATAGTATAAATATTACAAAATCTACCAGGATAACACAAGACTCATAGAAGTTACATCTCTCAATATTGTACCTAATATATTCATCTGCTGAGCGGAGACCTATTTGGTACTATAAATTAATTTAAACCTATATAATGTAACTTAAAATTTAAAAATTATTTTATTATTGTTATGTACCGAATAAACAATTTTCTTTCTTTTCTTTTCTTTAATAAGGATGGGGGCAATGAGTACAGTAGAATAATAAAAAATAGAATTAAGGAATTAATTATGAAGGAAGTAGAATTACGTAACTGATATACTGATATCATCGGTCACCGCAAATTTAATGTAGTTATCAATATAGATTTGTATGATTACATATATGTATGACCTTCATACAAACAGATTAATAAAACGGTTCAGTTTCCGTTTAAATCTATACATATAAATAAAATTGGAGTGTCTGTTTGTAATATTGAAGTAACCGTTTTTTACTACATGCATATGAATATAAATACGGTACATACACTAAAATTTTTCTTTTTTACAATTTTGGTCTGCCTGTTTGTTCCGGCTAATCTCTGAAATGGGTGGACTTTTTTTGGCAGGTAGCTGATGTAATAAGGAATAACTTAGCTACTTTTATTTTAGAAAAATATATATAATAGCTAGTGTTTTATATAGACTGCCTCGGTGGTCTAGCGGTTTAGCACTATCGGATGGTCGCGGGTTCGATTCCTCGCACGGTGCGAACAATTGTATTCATGAGTATGATTGTTTGTATCGGTCTGGGTGTTTTCTATGTATATTGTATGTATTTATATCAGTTGTCTAGTACCCATAACAAACTCTGCTTACCGTGGGACTAGATGGTTAGTGTTTTATATGTTTGTAACGAATGAACTCAAAAACTACTGTATCGAATTCAAAAATTATTTCACTGTTCGAACACAGAATTATTTATTACAGTCATTATCAGTTAAGATATTGAACAATAAACAAAAACTGGAGGGTAGATATGTTAAAAATATCTACGTATAGTATTAATATTAACTTTAGCAAAAAAGTACTAGTTTAGAATAAAAAAATAGGTAATTAATTGTTTCGGGAAAAAGGCGGGAAACGTTAAACTTGGCGGTGGCATAATAGGCAACACTAGCCTCTTGCTAAAGAAGAGAAAAAAAAAAAACTAACTACCGTCGAATTTCGTTGCCTTTATCCAATACTACAAGACCGTCCCGGCTTCGCACGTGTGGAGTTTTATATAAAACTAACTGACGCCCCCAACTTCGTCTGCATCACACGTACTGGACATTTATCATTATATTTCGCCCAAATAACACAATATCTTTAAATTATAGTCATAGTCTAGCTACCCACCAGCTATTATATGTATAATACATGTACCCCGGCTTCGCACGGGTGTACATGTATTATACATATAATACTTCCTCTTGAATCACTCTATCTATTAAAAAAATCCGATGCGTAGTTTTAAAGATTTAAGCAAACATAGGGACGGACAGACAGCGACAGCGACTTTGTTTTATACTATGTAATGATATGTTATTCTGATGTATAAGCTATATTATAGTAAAGGTTCATCAAAATCTGTTGAGTAGTTTTTGCGTGAAAGAGTAACATACATACATACATACTCACATAGCTTCGCGTTTATAATATTAATAAGATATAGTTTTTATTGATATATGTCCAGGGTTAGACAACTTACATCAATAACATTGCTATATGTACTATATTTACTTCGTTCTGTCTAAATAACTACATCAATATCGATCCAGCAATGACCTTCACATCTATACCTCCAATATTGTTGATTGATGGTTAAATGATACACGCTATCGTACTATTTGGGATAGACAGAGAACACAATTTTTTATCTTACATTACGACATTCGTCTATCATATATATAACTCAAACGTGACTGACATAGTGATCTATCAACGCACAGCACAAACCACTGGACGGATCGGGCTGAAATTTGGCATGCAGGTAGATGTTAGGACGTAGGCATCCGCTAAGAAAGGATTTTGATTAATTCTACCCCCAAGGGGATAAAATAGGGGATGAAACTTTGTATGACACTTTGTCAATTTTAAACCGATCGAGCTGAGACTTTGCATGCATAAAGCTGCGTAGTTGGCATCCCCTAAGAAAGGATTTTGATAAATTCCACCCCTAAGGGGATAAATTACCGCGAGCGAAGCCGCGGGCAAAAGGTAGTGTAAGTATAAACCTTTGAAGTAAGCATTAATCTCTTTTGATAACTAGTTTTCAAAACTTAAGTTTATTCAATTTGTTTGACGATCCTCGGTGGTTTAGTACACCGCTTGACGTCCGATGATCGCGGGTTCGATACTTCGATTTTTTTAAATCATTTAAAGAGGAATAATACTTTCATATATATTTTTTGGGTAACTTGAACCGTTTACAAATCAAATATGAATAATTTTCCCCGTTTTTGCAACATCTTTCATTGCAGCTCCGCTCCTATTGGTCGTAGCGTGATGTTATATAGCTTAGTCTTCCTCGACAAATGGACTATCCAACACAAAAATAATTTTTCAATTCGAACCAGTAGTTACTGAGATTAGCGCGTTCAAACAAACAAACTCTTCAGCATTATAATATTTTATTATTATTCTGAATTGTTCTAAATTAGTTAATATGTATGAAAATACATAATTAAGTATAATAATTGAAAAAGTGACCGAACACATCTGCTGTGTCCTTTAAGACGAGGTAATGATACGCCTTTTTTTTATACAAACAGCTGCTCGCACACCTTGCTTCATAAGTAAGCGTAGGTAGTGTTACTTAAGTTTAGTTTACTATATGTTATGTTGCTATATATCATTGATGTAAAGGAGCTTTCTAACCGTAACCGAATCCGAAATAAAAGTTTCGGATTATATCGGATAGGGGCGGACCCTAATTGAGACACGTCATGTAACCATTTTATTAGCTATTTGTATTTTACTTTTGGAATTCCTTAAAAAATTAATATCCGTAACCGAAATTATCCGAAACTAACGGATAATCTGAAATAATTTCATATCCGTATCCGTATCCGGTATAATAATCATTCCTGTATCCGAAACCTATCCGTATCCGAAATTTCATATCCATATCATCCCTGCTTGACTTTGTATGTCATCACTTTGATACTATCTGAAATTTTATTTATAAAGTAACAGTCAAAGACAAAACTTTATAAATGATAATAATGACTTTCTAGAAAAAAACTAACTTAAAATTCATAGCGCTGACAATATTATCGGATTGCACAACGAATGAGTGCGTGTTTCTATGTTGATTGTCGCATGCCTCCTCATTGTTAATACATATTTACTTAGAACAATATTTATTTAAAAGATCAAAACGCAAGTTTCTGCTTTATTCTTCTTGTGATGCGTCTGCGTGTCTAATGAGTGGTAGAATACAGAGGTATAACTGTTTAAAAGTAAGTTTATTTGAATAAACATTTTTCCAAATTTGGATTGGGTTATTTAAAGAAGTACGTAATTTAAGTATTTGATTATTGAATGAAATTAAAATTAAACTGTTTAAAAGTAAGTTTATTTGAATAAAGATTTTTCCAAATTTTGATTTAATTATTTAAAGTAGTACATAAGTTAAGTATTTGATAATTTAATGAAATTAAAATAGCTTTTTTTTATATCTATACATGACATGACTTGATGACTTGACTGATGATCATGACTCGCAGGCGCCTAGGCGGTGTGGAATAAAAAATAAATGAAATTTTAAAATAATAGTATCCCAATTTACTCCTTGAAAGATTAGCTATCTGCGAGTGATGGTCCTCTCAAAATCGGTACAGCTACTTCAGAGATTAGCAAGAATAAACAGACAGACAAAAAAATTGTCTGTCTGTTTTGTAAATTAATTTCTGATATACCTAAATGCCTTATGTACATTCATATGCATTTAGTGAACAACTGTTAATTGCATGTCACATACCTATATTTCAATTTTGTTTAGTCATATAGATAATAAACGTAGATAAAGTTAGAAATAGTTTTTATAACAAACCGTTTTTTTTTATATTTATTCTCTTTCTTTCTTTTATTCTTATTCTAAATGTGTATTGTGTATGTTATATATTTATTTATTTTAAAACGCAAGTTTCTCGCTCGAGCGGTAGAAAAATAAATATGACTATTCAAAAGTGCTTATATTTAGTTTATTCGAATAAACATTATTTCTATTCTATTCTATTCTATATCTAATTAATGTTATATATGAAGATAGCGTGACTTAAAACTGCGAGAAAGGGATTCACAATGAATAATTTTATAGTAACGACTTGGTCACGACTTTCGTTGTATCACCACGTTAATAGGTGGGCAGAACAAAGAGAATTATGTACGTAAACATTTAGGCGTGTGTGCCGGCGTTTATTGGTATAGTAGTCACTTCCGATGGTCGCGGGTTCGATCCACGCACGGTGCAAACATTTGTATTCATGAGTGTAATTGTTTGTATCGGTCTGGGTGTTTTCTATGTATGTTATTTATGTGTTTATATAAAAATGTATGTATGTATTTATATCAGAGCTATCTAGACCTAAGTTAAGCCAGCTAAAGCTTGTGTTATGGGTACTAGACAACTGATACAAATACATAGATA